ATTGATTGCAGGAAAATTTCGTTTTTTGAATGTTTGAATAAACATTAATTATTCTATTACTATTACTATATTCGTTTTGTGAGAATATAGAAACAAGTATAACTATGAACATATTCCGTATACATTTAAAAGCAGAAAAGCATTTGTTGAAATATTAATATATGATGGTGTTTTACATTGTGAGTACTGTACTGATACCGTGCGTAATGTTGGAATTGAACAGTTTAACTATTTTGGCTCTATTTAAGGAAAAGGGGAGAAGAAAAGAGGAAGAAGAGAGAACGTACGAGTCAGCGATATGATGTTTACATTCACGGATATTTCAATTCATCTGGCCAGTTGGATGTTTATATACCTTGGGATTGTCAGGATAATTCATCCATTCTCAGCAAAAAGTTTAAATGCAGCCTTTGTTCAAGACTGGATTTTCAGCTTTAATTTTGGAATGTTCGGATTTCAAAAAGGCGTTGTACAGCGATAATTTCCTCTTTCTCCCGGTTTTAGGAGCAGAAGATTATTTTGTGCACTAGCACTCCCTTGTTCAACTGCTTTCTGATACAATTCAACTGCCTTCTTAACATCTTTCTCTACTCCAATTCCATATTGATAGCATAACCAAGATTATTTTGTGCATAAGCATTTCCTTGTTCAACTGCTTTTTCATATAATTCAATTGCCTTCTTTACATCTTTCTCTACTCCAATTCCATATCGATAGCAATAACCAAGATTATTTTGTGCATCAGCATTTCCTTGTTCAACTGCTTTTTCATATAATTCAACTGCCTTCTTTGCATCTTTCTCTACTCCAATTCCATATTGACAGCAATGACCAAGATTATTTTGTGCAGAAGCATTTCCTCGTTCAACTGCTTTTTCATATAATTTAATTGCCTTCTTAACATCTTTCTCTACTCCAATTCCATATTGATAGCAATGACCAACTTTACAGAAACTTACATTTTTAAAAAATGTCCCGACGAGATTTGTACGATGTTGTTCTGATAACCATGTGATATTTACAATCTGAAAATATCGTAAACATCTCACCGCGATGTCACCATCAAATTGCTAAATTTCGCTTAGTATCTTGACGATCCTGTCACGAGATTCTGTTAGACAGTCCAGTTTCGCGGCTTTATTAAAATTTCCCTGAAATCTCGTGAGCACATCTTCGCAGTACACTAAAATTAGAATCCTCGTGGCGACATCATTGCGTGCTGCTTACTAGATATTTGAAAAATATCCTGATGGTATTGTTTTACAATATTATACATACTTCGCAGCAATATCGTAGCAATATCGTAGCATTATATACGAAAGTTCCTCGCAGCGTATATATATGAGTCTTTTGGGTTGTTAAAGAAAGCGAGCTAGCATAAATAAATCACATATATATCACCAAACGTTATGCAGGTAACGTTCCCAAGACATTGATTGATGTTCAATTGCTTTAAATTCGCACTGATAAGGGACGTGGAATGTAAGAAAACGCTCTCATTATATTATAGATAATAACGTTAACGTATCGGACAGTATAATTTTTGGATCCAATATACATGTGTGTATGACGACACGGTTTTATTTTATATAAAATCTCACATAGTCATTAGCAATACTATTGCTCTTTACAGAATTACGCAACTTTGAGGCGGTGGAGGAGACGGTGGAGGAGACGGTGGAGGTGGAGTAGGAGACGTTAGCGGAGGACGGCGACGAGCACCAGGAAGTCTGAAATAATCTGTATATACAACTAAGGTAAGAATTAGATTTCAAATTTCAGAAACATCTTCACTTACTTACAAGTGTAGTCCGAATAGCGCAGTATATGTTTGCCTCCATAGACAATTCCGGCACTTCCTGGTGCCACTCTATATCCGTTAATACGAAAAGTAACGTCACCTCTGTTAGCAAGAATATATCGACGATGTCCAGATCCAGCCAAATCGGCGATCTATTAAATACCAGAAAAGTAAATTAATATATATGCGAATTCATCTTATAGTAATAAAATAAAGTGATAGATACTTCGTGAATAGTGAAGCAAACTCCATGTCCTCCGAGTCTCTATTATTCACAATTGATATAAGGGTTAATACTATATTTTCCTGTAATATTATATTGTATTAGACAACCTACCCAGTTAACTCTCTCGTAATTGTTACTTCCTGCAAGACATGGAAGAGTAATATTCTCCTCAAGGAGGCGGCGCACTAATCTCCTTGTCGACTTTTCCTATAGTAATAAATACGAAGACATATTCATTTGTAAGAATCTGTTAACAACCACAATGCGCTGATATATGAATACCTTATACATACATTACGTCTCTCACGATGGATAGAAAGGAGGATCGATTGTCGATTACCAAGATATGAGCCAAATTGGCGCAGTACTTGCGCTATTGCTTTGCCTTTCTGCTCTGGACGTAGCACATACGTTTTCAATGCTTCCTCATATCTGTCCATTCTTTTTAATATTAAAACAAGCGACTTAGTAACTATTATTCATGTTCCCCACCCTAATACGATATAGACTAGTCATCAGAATTCGAAGTAACAGTATCCACATATGGAAGTACCCAATACTCCGCAATGCAGATAAAGTCTGAACTTGAGGGCACCGAACGCATGCGCGC